AGTGGGTGGGGAGTCCTGTAGATCCAGTGGTCTTGTAAGCATCTCAACGCTGGCAGGGGTCTCCACGTGGCTTCTCCAGGTCCAGGGTTCTGGCTGCATCAGGGTTGGTCCCTGTGGCTTCTGCTCAGGGTTTGTCTCGCAGGGAGTCAGCCTTGTCAGTAGAGTGTCTCCAAGGGAGTGAGCAGAGAGTCACTCCCACCTCCAAGGAGGAAAAACCAGATTTCTCAGGAGAAGGCCAGGCCCACCCAGAGGCCTCATTGGCTGTGACCCTATTGACAGACTAGGCTCCACCCCTTCACTCTCAATCCTCTCAGGTCCCAGATTGACCCCAGGTGATGTAACAACCACAAGTCTGGAGTAGCTCTTGCTGCAGTCCCCCGCAGGCACAACTGGGGAGGTGTTCAACCACTAGCCGAAAGGTCGGCGGTTCAAACCCACCCAGCGGCTGGAGCACAGCTGCGGAAAGGTCACAGCTGTGGGAAGCACACCTGTGGAGCAGCTCTGCTGGGCACACCAGGGGCGCCAGGAGGCAGGGATGTTCTCGCGGGACATTCGAGACCCAGGGGCCCATCTGCCCGGGCGGAGAGGGTCCCCGGGGCCAGAATGGACTCGGTGACAGTGAGTTGGCTTGTGTTCTGGTTTTAGTTTGCTTTTTTCTATTATTATTATTAATTGGGATGAATACATTTATCAAATCATTCCATAGTTCAGCTGCGCCCAGCGGAGTGGTACATTTACCACCACCGTCAGTTTCCAAACATCCTTTCTCTATAAGGACCCCTTGACATCCACACCCCTTCACCCCACCACCAGCTCTGCTCCCCCTCCCCCCCAAACCCTTATCTCCCACTTGCTGACTCTACAGGTTCACCGGTCCTGGTTTTCCCTACTGCCCCCCATCCCAAAAACGAACAAACATGTCCTGCAACTTCCAGAGGGCGGCTTCTTGTTTCTGTGTGTCATGTTGGGGGACACATCCGAGTTTCTGGGACAGTGTCACTATGCAGAGCAGTCAAAGAATACGCCCACCCACTGCCGCCAAGTCCGCGCTGCTTATCCCGACCCTGCAGGGTGGCTGGGTGCCCTGTGTGGAGTCCAAGTCTGTCATCTGTATGGCAGCAGACAGCTTCATCTTCCTCCCATGGAGCCACTGGCAGGCCTGAACCGGGGACCTCCTAGCCTGCTTCTTACCCATAAGTCACTACTCCCACAATCTCACTGTGTGTCCAGGCACCATCTGCAGCCTGAGGGAAAGTGTCGCCCCGTTTCAGTAAGGAAGCTGAGACTTGGCTTGTCAAATAATCTGTCCAGGATCCCCCACCCCCTGTGATGTGTCAGAGGCAGGGTCCAAATCTGGCCCCCTCACAGCCCCATGCAGCTCCAGGCTCGTGGCCTAGAGGCAGGACTGAGGGACATCGGGCATCTTCTGACCAGGGCTTCTTTCAAAGTGTGGGCCTTGGGCCAGCAGCCCAGTGTCTGTGGTGCACGCTGCCAGCGTCTGTGATCCAGCCCCAGCCCCTGGCTTCCGAGGGTCCCATCCCAGGCCCCCCGCGACTCAGGGAGCACAGGACTTTGAGCAGGTCCAGCAGGCTGAGGTGAGATCTGCATGGTGGCCCAGGGCCCGCTCTTCCCGTCACAGGGACACACCAAACTCAGTCATCTAGCCCGGTGCGCTGTCAGAAACCGCAAGGGAAGCCCTATGCTGCCTCCCTTCTCTGAGGGGGAAACGTGGGGGAGTCTCGGGCTCAAGCTTTGTAGGGAGGAGGCCAGGCCCCGAGGGACTGAAGGCCTCCATTTGGCCATCTGTAACGTGGACTTGAGGGAGGCGCCCCCTGAGCTCTGCAAGGTCGCTCCATCCTTAGGCGGGCACTAACTCCCTGGACACGCAGGCTCAGGGCCCTGCCCATCTGCATGTAGACGCAGGCAGCCCATCTGCACATGCAGACGAGCATGTGGGTGGGTGGGCCCGGCCAGCAACACACGGGTTCACAGACCTGCGTGTGTGAGTACTTGCACCTGGCAGCACGGGGATTGTCTGGGTGTGCACATGGACCCGTGTGCACTACTGGGAGGGGGACTGACGGACGGCTGCTGTGGGAAGCAAAAGGCAGGACTGGCGAGTGGACTCAGGCAGGCGCCCCGAGGACAGGACGTGGGGCAGATGGCCAGGTGACGGAGTGGCTAGAGAGGGGCCTGTGGTAAGGTGATCAGATTGTAACATTGGTAAAGCGGGACGAAAGCCGGACACCGTTGATAAAACTCATATCCTGGCGAAATAGCCACATGGCAGCCAAAAACCGTATACCCTAGCTCATCGTGCATTCTTTCCAAAAATTGGGACTTTTTAAAAACACCGCAGGACGCAGGAAAAATTGCTAAAAATGGGGACAGTTTGATCACCTTAGGCCCTGTGTGCACATGGAGGGTGGTGGGAAGGTCTGGGGGCGGCACGCCGGCAGAGGGGCAGTAATGCCCCCAGGCTGGGGGCCACAGCCGGAGTCAAGGGCAGACCCTGAGAGCAGTAGGGGGGCCCTGAGCAGGTGAGTGGGTGGTTTCTCTCTGAGGGGCTCTCCGTGGGTGCTGGGCGGGATGTGGACGCAGGAGAGCAGTGGGCATGGTGCACCTTCGGTGCATGCTGACCACTGCCTGGCTGCCTTTGTCTCTGGACCTGCACTGTCATGCCGGGCAGCCTCTCCCAGTGAGTTGGCCCGACAGAGGACAGGGCTGGCCTACTGACCACCTTCTCAGGGAACCCTGGGCGGCGTGTCCCCTTCCCCGCTCTCGGCTGTCACTAGGAACAAGCAATTCCTCGCCCACCTGGTGCAGCGATGGGCCAGCACCCAGAGGACAGCTGGGGCTGTGATGTGGGTGGTCAGAGACAGGCCTTTGACAGATGCAGAAATGCCCTCAAAATATGTGGGTGGTGACCAGCTTACTGGTTGGACAGAGACTGGTGGAACCCCCAAGACCACAGCCCGTGGGCACTCTGCAGTTGTACGGAACCCCGCTGTGGCTCCATTCTTAGCACAGCAAAGCCCAGGCCTGCAAAGGGAGCATCAGCCCAGAGAGGTGCGAGCACCACAGGGTAGTTCGAAATGTGAGGCCAAAGGGCAGCCTTTCCCCCAGGACAACTTGGAGGAGCGCTGGGGACGAAACAGGAACGGCAGACGGAAACGGGGAGCAGAAATGGGGTGCGTGCCGGGCTGCGGTGGGGACTGCGTCCACAGCATGTGTATGAGTTGTTGAAAACTGATCTGCTTGGTCAACCTACACCGAGTTGCAGTTAACAATTGTGGGGAGGAAAGGACCGGTGGGATGTTTGCTGGTGACAGCTGAGCTGAGGGTTGGGCTGATGCAGGGCAGGCACTGCCTGGCACAGGGTGCCCAGCCAATAAGGTCCTGCCCAGCATGGGCTCTGATGGCCCAGTTTTTCTGGAATTGAGACACTGCAGGCAAGAGGGGTGCCCGCTTTTATACAAACTGGGATTTCAGGGGAGACAATTACGTGGACTTTGGAGTCCTGGGGTGTTTCAGGGATGAGGAAGCCGGCGCCCCACCTTGGTCCTGCTCAGGACAGTCACCCCATAGCCTGGGCATCTGTGCCTTTGCACCTCCCCCGACAAAATCCATGGGTGGCTTTTTATGTGTAATTTCATAGTTCTGTACATGTGTGTGTGTGTGTGTGGGGGGGCCAACAGCCAAATGCAAGGGGGTTTCCTAAAGTGCGTGGAAGATGGGGTGAGAAGATCCTGGAGGTTTCTCCCAGCTTTCTGAAGCCCCCTTGTAGAGTCTCTGAGGTTGCCAACGTCGATTTTTTAAGGGGCTGCACAGACCAGGTGGAAAGCATGGGTGGGGAGTTCACAGCCCCTCTTGATCCTGAGACAGGCCCAGGTTCTGGAAGCTTCATCCTCAGAGACCGGGCGTGGGAGGACTCTGGGCAGGGGGTTCCACAGAGACCCAGACAGGCCAGCGTCTGTCTCTGTGGGGCTGAGACCTGACCCGTGCCCAGCCCCTTGGTCTCGCTCTGTCTGCCCCGCCAGAGGACGAGCAGCGGGAGAAGTCCGCCTCCCACCACACGGTCCAGCAGCTGGTGCTGGAGAAGGAGCAGGCCTTGGCCGACCTGAACTCCGTGGAGAAATCGCTGGCCGACCTTTTCAGGAGATACGAGAAGATGAAGGAAGTCTTGGAGGGTTTCCGGAAGGTGCGTGAGCGTCGGATGCCCGGCAGGGATGGGAGATTGTGGGGGAAGCCCTGGGAGGGGGCTGCTGGAGGCGGTCCCCAAACTGCCTGTGAGGGGTGTGTGGCTGGGGTACACCCACGGCTCTCTTTGTCTGGCAGAATGAAGAGGTGCTGAAGAAGTGTGCCCAGGAGTACCTGTCCCGAGTGAAGAAAGAGGAGCAGCGGTACCAGGCCCTGAAGGTGCACGCGGAGGAGAAGCTGGACAGGTGGGTGACCTACGGTCCTTGCATTCTACCCCGCTTGCCCCAGGGCCTTGGACAGCAGGGGCGGAGGCTCTAGGGGCTCTCTGAGCCATTCAGGATCGGCTGGTGGTGATGGTGAACTGCTTTCCCTCCTCCTCCCTGGGGGTCTCCAACTGCGTCCCTGCCCGCTGAATGCTCAGAGCCCTGGGGCACCATGGGAGTGGATTGGGCAGTTCTCCTGGGGGTCCTGTGCTGCGGTGGTGGGTGGTTGGTGTCCAGGGTGAAGGCCAACCTTCCTGAGCCCCTGTCCCCACAGGGCCAATGCTGAAATCGCCCAGGTCCGAGGCAAGGCCCGGCAGGAGCAGGCGGCCTACCAGGCCAGTCTCCGCAAGGAGCAGCTTCGTGTGGATGCACTGGAGGGGGCCCTGGAGCAGAAGGTGAGGCTGGCGTGGGGGGGTGCGCTTGGGCCATCCGCCCCATGAACCAGACGTAGGAGGTCCTCCGGTCAGGGGGAAGCTCCGGCTGCATGCCGCCCCTCTGCCGGCCTTGGCACTGGCGTGCTTGGTGTCACTTGCCGGCCCTTTGTGGCACTCATTTGTCGCGTATTTGTTAAGCACCTGCTGTGTGTCCGGGATCCCCAGTGGCGTGGTGGTTACTCATTAGGGCCGCTATTGGCAAGGTCAGCAGTTTAACACCACAGAGCCACTCCGAGAGAAAGATGAGGCTCTGCTCCCTGGACCTCCCGGAGGCTGTTCTACCCGCTTCTGCAGGGTCGCCGGGAGTCGGCATCGACTGGACGGCACGGGGTTTGGTTTGGTTTTTTGACTGCCAGGTGAGGAGCCTCGCTGGTGCAGTCGTGAAGAGCTTGGCTGGCACGGGAAGGCTGGCGGTTCAAACCCACCAGCGCACCCTGGGGTTTGCAGGAGGATGACAGGCCTGGAGCCCTCAGGGCTGGTTGTACTCTGGTCCTGGAGGGTCACGATGCTGCGGCAAGGGGTGCTGTGTGGTTTCAGCCCCGCCTCCAGGGTACTACTGACGCACCAGGCCCCTCCTTGCGTTGAGGAGCCGGGCACTCACTGGGCAGGAGTGACGGCCCAAGAAGCACTGGATGCGCCCCCAGTCTGGGCTTCGTGAGTTTGGGCACGCTGGGCTCTGCTCCTCCACCGGGCAGTGCCTGGTGGCTGGTCACCGTGCCACTAGAGCTTGATGACCGTCCAGGGGTCAGTCACAGATGGGAAGGGGGAGGGTATCCGGATCAGTCACATAGCAAGGCCTCATGGGAGCCGGGTCCTCCTGGGTCTGTGTGCTTGGCCTGCCGCGTCTGACTGGCTGTCACCCGGGGAGCATTGCCTCACCTCTCTGAGCCACATCTCTGCAGGGGAGATGGCAGCCTCGTGGGGTTGGAGTGTGCTAGCATCAGAACACAGCTGCCACGCGGCAGACACGGTCACCCTGGATCCGTAGCCGCAGAGATAGGTGGATGGGCAGGTGGAAAGGCTGTGCACCCCTGCCCCATGTGTCGCCCCTCGGAGCTGCCCATTCTAGACCTGTGTGGGACCCCCAGCCAGTCACAGCAGGTGGGGTTTGTCATTTCTCCTCCCCCGCACAAGGTGGCGCCAGGGGGCCCCTGGCCCCAAAACACAGGTGAGGAACTGGTCTCTGGCTCCACCTTCCCAGCCCCCGGAGGGGCTCTGGGGAAGAGGTAGGCCCCACAGCCCTCAGGAGCAGCAGGAGTAACTGGCTGCATGGTGTAACCCAGCGTTCCAGAAAGATCCTGCTCCCCAGAGAGGACTCAGGTGGATGGGGCTGTTGATGCAGGCCATCCTGAAGGCCAGGTGCGCTGCGGGCTGGCTGCTGTCAGGGAAGTTTGGGGACTGCCCTGTCTGACCAGAAGAGAGCCAGCCTGGCCATGTGCCCGAACAGGCCTTCTGGCCCCATTTCTTAGAGAGAGAGGAGCGGGGCTGAGCAGGCACGAAGTTGGTTCCCTGGCTTGGGCTCAGAGGACAGGGTCTGCGCTCCCAGGTGGTGGGGAGCCCCTGTCAAACAGAGGGAGTCGACCCCGCCCTCTCACAACCCGCTGTAGCCACAGCTGCCCAGGTGTCCCCCCACCTCACTCCAGCATGGCGTCTGGGCGAAGTCTCATGGCGTCCAGGACGCCGGCCTCACCCCTCCCTGGTCAGGAGCTCACACATCCTGCTGGGCAGGCAAAGACGGGAGCCTGTGTTGCTGGTGCCCGCTGAGGGCTGGTCACTGTATGGAGAACGTGGCCCTCCTCTCTCTCTAAGTTTCAGAGAGACAGACATTAAAGAACTGCTCTGGCTCAGAGAGGTGGGTAACTTGCCCAGGGTCACCCAGCTAGAGCTGGAATGACATAAACTCCGGTTGTCTGACTGCAAGTCATTTATTTCTGTTGCCTCTTTTCAATAACTTGGGAGGTGTTGGGGCCAGGGCAGCTTGGGGTCCCCCACCCAGGACCCCTCTGTTGGGACGACTTTCCAACACAGCCCCTACTCCGGCTTTCGCTTTCAGAATAAAGAGATCGAAGAGCTCACCAAGATTTGTGACGAGCTGATTGCCAAAATGGGGAAGAGCTAGCTTCCAGCCCCGCGTGTGCGCCCAACGGTGGCGTGCGAGGACCATGGGTGCTCCACCGCCTGCCCGCCCGCCCGCTGCATGGCCCGGCCGGTGCCCTGCTGCGCTTCCTCTCGGCGCCATCTGGACTGGACGCAGCACCGAGTGGCCGATAGGAACTCCTGGCTGCTGGTTTGCGGTTCCCTTATCCCCCCCACTCAGCAAGTGGGCCCCAGAGTTCCCACATCAGGGAGACGGTCTGATGCGCCCATCAAAGACACACCGCCGACCGACTGACCGAGGACCCCGGGGTGGGCGGCTTTGGGGTTGAGATAAACATGCTCAGCGTGCACAGCGACTCTTGCCTTAAGGAGGGTACACTTGACCTGCATTTGCCGATTGGTTTGGAAAGAGAAGAAAATGCATGTTTCCAATAAAATTCTCTATTGTAAATAAACTTTTTTTTCTCCCTTTGGATCTTGGCAACACGTGGATCTCTGGTGTGTTTTCTGCAAAGGGCTGGGTCTCTGCTCCCCTCGGTGACGTCAGGGTAGAACTGGCCTCCAGTTCTCAGCGCCCCTCGGCTGGCCTGCGCCCGGGTCTTTGTTGATGGAGCTAATGAGAAATATTGACTGGGACTTAAATAATTAAACGAGCCTATTGAGTTTGTTGAGTTTGGGCATGGTCGGCGGTGTTGTTGCTTTACAAACCCTTGCTGACGTTAAGGGGGAAATCTGTTTCCTGCATTGACCCGAGGCAGCCCGATCAGTCCCCTCATGTGACGCTTCACCCTGAAACCCTGCCCACCCATCCTCGAGAGGGTTATTAAAGAGCAGGCAGCCGCCTGTGGCCAGTAAGCCACCCCTGAGGTTAAATGGGTCAGGTGTCTGCTCTGGGGGTTCTTCATCCTCCCTGTTGTACTTGGCCCCACCCCCACCCCCAGGTTCTAGGGCAGCTGGCCCAGGAAGGAGAAAGTGGGAAGGGTGTCCACTTTCTGAGGCATTCCGGAAGGCCACTCATGCCTATGCACTGGGCTGAAAACTCAAAGGTTGGTGGTTCGAGCCCTGCCACCGGCACCACAGAAGACCCTGGCGAGCTGCTTCCTGAGGCTGCAGCCACGCAGGAAGACCCGTGGAACAGTCCTTCTCGTGGAGTTCCACGGTCTTCCTCCGAGGACTGGCGGGGAAAGTCACAAGAAGTCAGAGGCAGAAATGGAAGTTATTACCAGCAGTTCGAAACCACTAGATGGACCTTTTTACTCCCATAAGTAATTAGTCTTGGAAACTCACAGGGGGCAGTTCTGCCCTGTCCTGTAGGGCTGTGTGAGTGGGCACTGACTCCGTAGCAGTCAGAAGTTGGTTTGGGGTGGGTTGTCTGTGCATTTATCTGTTTCCTGAGCCCCAGTAACCAATTACCACTGACTGGCACTTTCAGGCAGAGTTACTCCAGGGTCCTTGGTCTGGCTTCACCTACGAGAGCTCCAAGATCAAATGCATCCCACACCTCTCCTACCTCCCCTGCCTCGGGGCTATTGCCCTTCCAGACCTCTGCCTCTGCCTCCACGTGGCCACTCTCTTTCCGTTTCTCTTACCACCGCCCTTAATCCAGAAGGACCCCATCTGGAGCCCCTCAGTTCGTCTGCAAAGACCCCAGTTCCCACGAAGGGCTCGTTCACAGACCCTGGGCCTAAGACTCGGGTCTGTCTTTGGTGGGAACAGAGGTGGGCAGCAGGCTGTGTAGGGGCCGAGACTGAAGAATGACAGTGTTAGCTGAAAACAGGGACCATCCT